GAAATATATTTATGTTTGTGGTTGTAATGTGACAAAATATGGAAAAGTTCAAGGGGTATGAATACTTTTGCAAACCACTGTAATTGTTTGCAGTTCAAATATTAAGTGTTAATAATTGTTGCTCTTTGTGGTATGGGCTGAACTGGTCCAGATTAAAAAATAATAATTTGATCCTTTTAAAACTTTTTAATGTTTTTAAAACTTTTGTTCTATTTACATCCAAATATAAAATAATAAATAGGATTGTTCTAGCTTTGCAAAAAATATGACAACTTATTTTAGGGCTGGGCGGTATGACCTCAAATTCATATCACCGTGTAAATTAAATCCTTTCACGGTAATGGTATATATTGCGGTAGAAAATTATAAAAAGTGAAGATAATGTAATTTTTAGAGCATTTTTTTTTTGCAGAAAACTGTAATCTTAATTAAACCCAACATTTTTGGGGTCCCGGCGTAACTTTTCTACAGCGGGAGGGGGAAATTTTGAGGATTTATTCTCTCTACATGTTTTAAACCTCTTATTTCTTCATTATAATTCAAACTCCTGCTCAGTTGTCTCTGCACTCGCAGCCCTGTTGACACAGGTGCGATGACGTAATGACGATAGGACGGTAGAGGGTAAATTTGTACCGTAGGCCAACTTCATACCGTTTCTACTACCGTCTAGCGCATATATCGRGCAGCCCTAATTTCTTTGTTAAAATTTAAAAACACATTATTTTGCCATTTTTCTCCACTTCACAATAAATAGTCTGCTCAGTTGTGTAGTTTGGATTTGGCATTGTTTTTGAACACTCACATTTTTTACTTGAAAGTGTTTCCTTTTTTTTTTGAACAAAACATGCTTCCTCTTCTTCTCTGTCGTAACACTCTTCAGCAGCAGCAGCGGCAGTCGGGTGCAGTTAGCAGCGTGTCTGTCGGTGGCGGCGCAGCAGCCGTGGGTGGCCCTCAGGTTGGACTGAGCGCCATGGGGGCAGGACCCGGCTCGACGCCCCCCACTGCCGACCCCGAGAAGCGGAAGCTGATTCAACAGCAGCTCGTCCTGTTGCTTCACGCGCACAAGTGCCAGAGGAGGGAGCAGGCTAACGGGGAGGTGCGGCAGTGCAACCTGCCTCACTGCCGCACCATGAAGAACGTGCTCAACCACATGACTCACTGTCAGGCTGGCAAGTCCTGCCAGGGTGAGTCTGATGAATAACACTCACTGCTGGGTTTATGCTGTGTGGGCTGTAACACATCAGACTGGTTTTAAAGATGTTGTGTAGCTGCAGTTCTTTTTTTTTTTCCTTTTTAACTCTGGTCTTTTAGTGTTGAGATGAGTTATTCTTCCTCCAGGTAGTCGTTCTTCTGAAATCCATCAGGATGTAAATTTATTTTACCAATAGCTATCTTTTACTCACGTTTTCTTTTCTCCCTCTCTCATTCTTATCTCATTGTTCYCCTTCCTTTTTCACCGGACCTCCCGTCATTGTTTTTCACCTGTCGTTCCATTTCCTCTAACTCTTCTCCGTTCCTCTCTTTCAGTGGCACACTGTGCCTCATCCCGACAGATCATCTCTCATTGGAAGAATTGCACTCGTCACGATTGTCCTGTATGCCTGCCTCTAAAAAACGCTGGAGACAAGAGGAACCAGCAGAGTGAGTGTTCCTCACAACACTCACGTGTCCCATTATTGTGTAATTACCAGGGGTTTAAGGGTGCTTGTACCGAAAACCTTCAGTACAGGCCTTTCAGCTTGGCGTGCACAGAACAAACCCTGATCACCTAGTGTGTGTGTGTGTGTGTGTGTGTGTGTGTGTGTGTGTGAGTGAGCTCAATGATTGGCCTGCTATGTTTAAAAGGTAGCCCAGTAAAGCGAAACCACAACCAATGAGCATGGAAAATAGGCCTGTCACGATAACAAATTTTGCTGGGCMATTAATTGTCTCACAAATTATTGCGATAAGCGATATTGCTTGGTGACCATTTTACAACTAATAATTATAAAAGCGTAATATGTAAGTGTAATAAATCAATAAACTTTAATTTTTAAAGAATGTTTAACAAAGTGGACTCTCAGTCTCTAACAAAAAATGCACTTGAATAAAAAAAAAACAAAGAACAACAAAATGTAAATTAAACACCACACACACAACTAAGACAATAAACAATATTAAAGAGCAGCATCTCTTTAGAGATGAAGCAAACTACACAGCCTGGTGAGGACRCACTGTTTCTTATGGGGACATAAGCCCAGTTCACATCCCATGTAAAGTGTAGGCTAGGTTTAGGGTCAAATGGTAATAGAAAATACTGGTAAATGAATGAAAGTCGATGCAAAGTCCCCATGAGGATAGAAGAACAAACGTGTCTATGTGTGTGTGTGAGGAGGGGACAGTCAGTGAGGGATCAGTCGGAGCGCTGCGGGGAGGAAATCAGACAGTTCAGAGGTTTCCTCATGAGTTGTTGGGACAGCTACAGGTTTTTGGGGGTTTTGTTAAAACACAGATGGTGCGTTTAAGTTTCCTGTTATTTTTGGGAGCTACAGGTAAAGTCTTGACGAGTTTGTCGCGGGTCTGGGGGAGTTTCAGCCCCCACCCCTTCTCCTCCTCTCTCTCTCTTTCTCTCTCTGTCTCTCTCTCTCCCCCTCCATCCCTCCCTCCACAGCGAAATTCAGGCTCTAGTGCTCCGACACTGCAGCAGCCGCGTTCTGCTTTGAAACGTTTCTTTAGTTTGTTATAGGTATGTGCTATCATGCTAAAGCGAGAGTTCACTCCTCCCGACACTAAGAAAACAGGAGGGGAGGAGTCAGCTGAGCTCCTGTGCAGCGGAGCACAGAGAGGAAGTAAACAAACAAACAAGCAGGAAAATGAAACTTATCGTCCTCATTTTTTTTACCGACCTCAAAAAAAATTATCTTGCAATTAATTGATTTATTGTCTATTGCGACAGGCCTAATGGAAAACACAGACTCCATTAAAGTCTGCTGTTCAGGAACATTGCAGTTTTTTAGTAAATCACAGTGACGGCGAAAAATTGGATCGAACATTTCGCCAGCATTCTTCTGCAGCCACAGGGTTTGTAGCTGTCGCTCCACGTCAAATCCAAATGCTGTCTTGAAACGACATTGAACAAATGGAAATGTACCTGACAATAAAAAATTTTAAACCCAAATTCAGCTGCTTTGTAGAGTTCAAACAGCTCTTTACCAAGAATTCAGACCAAGTTTATAACAAACAACACGGGAGTTGTTGTCGCTAAAAGTTAGAGCCATAGACTATACGGTTCCCTCTCTTGACTGCATTTTAGCCAGCAAACAATACCAACTTTATGTATCCAAGTACAAATTAATGTAGCTCARAGATTCGCAGGTACTCTAAGAACATACGGGGGGGAAATCGGGGCTTCATCATCACATTGCAGCTAGTGTAATGTGATGATGTCAACTTGTACGGATTGTCCGTAAGTTATAAGGATTTTACGTCATTTTTTGCAGGTATACGGACGTATAGAGCAATCTCACGGATATTTTCAAGCCTTACAGATTTTTTCAAAACCTCATTTTCAAATTTATCTAACATGTCAGAGCCTGTAGGATGATTTAAAAAACAATAAATAACATCAAACAGCCATCTTCCAACCTGTTCTGCCGCTAGAAATAGGTTTTGAACTTTTCCGCTCTCCATTCCTCCTYCTTCGCCGCGGGTGCTTTCATGTCCGCAGCCAACAGACCCCCCCCCATGCGAGTTGTACGGAGTTTTTGCAGAATTCAGATTTTTGAGGCTCTTTATACAGGTAAACATCCGAAGAGGTTGACATGTATGTGATGTGTTTTTGTGGACGACACACAATCACCATCAGGAGCGCATGTGAGCCCAATGATGGAAGGTTGTGTGGTGAAGCTGACGCTAACCCTAACATACAAACTTATTTATTCACCTGAAACACCGACACAAACCGAAGTACGAGGATGGCCAGAAAATGACCACATTAGCTACATTTAAGAACAGTCATCTATTAATCATCATATTAATCATTATCGGCTAAATGCAACAATTAATCGTGATAAACTCTTTTGCCAATATTGGCCAATGGTAATATCGATATGGGCTTACACGTTTATTATTGATATTAGTTTGCCTTAATGTTATTGGACCATACTAAGTTATGTACTGCGCCATGATTTCTGTGTACCGTTGCACTCCTAATAATAACATATTGATGATGAACTTGTTTCCTCTCTTCTTCTGCTCAAACGTCTGTTCTTCTGTTTCTGCAGCTCTTGTCAACAGTGCAGCTGTGAGTTTAGTGAACTCTTTAGGTGGAGGGGGGCCTGGTGCGCAGTCGAGCACTCCAAACCTGAACCCTCCCAGCCAGATTGACCCCAGCTCCATAGAGAGGGCCTATGCTGCATTAGGCCTCACCTACCAAGGCAACCAGGTGACGCCGCAGCAGCAGCAGCAGCAACAACAACAACAACAACAACAACCGCAGCAGCAGCAGGCGCCTCAGACCAACATGCCAAACCAGGGCCTGCAGGGCCAGACTGGAATGAGGACTTTAAATCCAATGGGTTTGTATAGTTTGTCACCTCTTGATCAACAATCCAAGCCGTTCATTCATGAATTTTAGTGGACGTTACATAAAGCTAAGAAGTACTGATGCTCAGATGCTAATATTTAGGCACTGCAGTATTTTTACATTCACTTTAAAGTATTTCCTTAAAAAAAACTAATTGATCCTTTAAACTGCATTATGATGTTTTATCAGGTGGAAACTCAATGGGAGTGAATGGAGCAGTTGGGGTTCAGCACCCCAACCAACAGTCCACTTTACTGCCGGACGCCATGTTGCACAACAGCATGAATGCACAGAGGTCAGGCTAATGTTTTCTGAGCACTAAATAACTTCAGTCTGGTTTCTTAAAAAAAAACCTGATCTACAGTGGTTTGCAAAAGTATTCATACCCCTTGAACTTTTCCATATTTTGTCACATTACAACCACAAACATAAATATATTTCACTGGAATTTAATGTGAAAGACCAACACAAAGTGGTATACAATTGTGAAGTGGAAGCAAAATTTTACATGAATCAAAACATTTTTTACAAATAAAAAACTGAAAAGTGCGATGTGCAAAATTATTCAGCCCCCCTGAGTCAATACTTTGTGGAGCCACCTTTTGCTGCAATTACAGCTGTAAGTCTTTTAGGGTATGTCTCCACCAGCTTTGCACATCTAGTGACTGCAATTCTTGCCCATTCCTCCTTGCAAAACAGCTCAAGCTCAGTCAGATTGGATGGAGAGCGTTTGTGAACAGCAGTTTTGAGATCTTGCCACAAATTCTCAATTGGGTTTAGGTCTGGACTTTGACTGGGCCATTCTAACACATGAATATTCTTTTTTTTAAACCACTCCATTGTAGCTTTGGCTTTATGTTTAGGGTCGTTGTCCTGCTGGAAGGTGAACCTCCGCCCCAGTCTCAAATCTTTTGCTYACTCCAACAGGTTTTCTTCCAAGATTGCCCTGTATTTGGCTCCATCCATCTTCCCATCAACTTTGACCAACTTCCCGGTCCCTGCTGAAGAGAAGCACCCCCAGAGCATGATGCTGCCACCACCATATTTGACAGTGGGGATGGTGTTTTCAGAGTGATGTGCAGTGTTCTTTCTCCGCCACACATAGCGTTTTGCATTGTGGCCAAAAAGTTCAATTTTGGTCTCGTCTGACCAAAGCACCTTCTTCCACATGTTTGCTGTGTCCTCAACATGGCTTCTGGCAAACTGCAAACGGGACTTCTTATGGTTTTCTTTTAACAATGGCCTTCTCCTTGCCACTCTTCCATAAAGACCACATTTGTGTAGTGCACGACTAATTGTTGTCCTGTGGACAGTTTCCCCCACCTGAGCTGTGGCTCTCTGCATTTCATCCAGAGTCACCATGGGCCTCTTGGCTGCCTCTCTGATCAGTGATCTCCTTGTTCGGCCTGTAAGTTTAGGTGGACAGCCTTGTCTTGGCAGGTTTACTGTGGTGCCATASTCTTTCCATTTCCGGATGATGGATTGAACAGTGCTCCGTGAGATGTTCAAAGCTTGGGAAATCTTTTTATAACCTAAGCCTGCTTTAAACTTCTCCAAAACCATATTCCTAACCTGTCTGGTGTGTTCTTTGGACTTCATGATGCTGTTTGCTCCCCAATATTCTCTTAACCAACATCTGAGGCCGTCACGGAGCAGCTGTATTTGTACTGAGATTAGATTACACACAGGTGGACCCTTTTGAGTCATTAGCAGTCATCAGGCAACTTCTGAATGCAATTGGTTGCACTCAGGGAAAAGGAGGCTGAATACTTTTGCACGTCGCACTTTTCAGTTTTTTATTTGTAAAAAATGTTTTGATTCATGTAAAATTTTGCTTCCACTTCACAATTGTATACCACTTTGAGTTGGTCTTTCACATTAAATTCCAGTGAAATATATTTATGTTTGTGGTTGTAATGTGACAAAATATGGAAAAGTTCAAGGGGTATGAATACTTTTGCAAACCACTGTAAATAAACACCATGTTACCTAAAATCCTGACCTCTCCTGTGCCGTTTCCCCTCAGCTTGATGAATGACGTGGGGAACCTGGGCTCCATGCCTGCAGCTACGCCTCCTTCTGCTGCAGAAATGAGAAAGCCTTGGCACAAAGACATCACACAAGACCTCCGTAACCACCTCGTCCACAAGCTGTGAGTCTCAGAAACAGGGTTTCTACACAGCCCTTTCATTTGATTTCAGTATTTTCCAGGTTTGAATAATATAATTTCAGGTCCCTCTAGCAAATGAGATCTGGATCTCAGTGGGGTTTTACCTGGTTAAATAATGGAAAGAGTAATTTTGGAAAAACATCACCTCATTTACGTGTTTTCTACAAATGAAAAAACTAAATTTTTGTAATTTATCTGTAGTTAAAAACTTGCCCACTTTTAGTTMATATGCCACAAGTTTGATGTTGAAATGGGGAATGTAAGTCATTTTTGTTGTGATATTCCTCATCTTTGCTAGTTGTTATGGTATAAAAGATAATGCCTGATAATGGTAAGAGAAACACTGCATTATGTAAAAGAACAAGTGTTATCTTTTAAATTTTAGTTTTTATATATATCTTTAATTGAATCATAAATTGTAAATTTCCAGTTTAATTAAAATATGCTTTTATATCGGGTAAAAAATACAAATTCTCATTGGCGGGCCAAACAGAAGTTTCCCACGGGCCTGATGTGGCCCACAGGCCAGTAATTGAATAGCCCTGATATACAGTTGTTCAGGTTAGCATTTTTCTGTGAAGAAAATTTGTAGGATCAAAATAAATATTTTAATGGATCTCAAAATACATTAGCATTTAATCAAAAGCTGAAAAAAATGAACATATTTGGTGAAAAAAATAAAAATAAACAACAACAACAAAAAAACATTTCACAGTAGTATGTAACAAACCATAAAAAAAGAGAGAGAGAGAAAAATGAAGAAAACCCCATGGTTGATTATTTTATATGAGCATACATATAATAAAACTGCCACATAATAGAGTAAATTACAGTAAATTTGTTTTGATGTCAAAAAGGCTAAACAATTTAATTTTAAAAAAAGCAAGTAAGAGTGATTTGTTTGGGATCAGTTATTTAGCATCACATCAGTAATAAAGAGGAATACTTTATTTTTGCTCTCAGATTGATTATAGGGGTGTGCGTGTGTGTGTGTTTCCTGTGTGTGGGCAGTGTGCAGGCCATTTTTCCTACACCTGACCCAGCTGCGCTGAAGGACAGGCGGATGGAGAATCTGGTGGCCTACGCTCGAAAAGTAGAAGGAGACATGTACGAATCGGCCAGCAGCAGGGTAAGAAACACACGCAGAGAAACAAAAAAGTTGTGTATTTGTGATTTGCCGTCGACGTGTTTCATAACATCCTCCCACCCTCCTGCTGTGTCCCTTCCAGGCGGAGTACTACCACCTCCTGGCAGAAAAGATCTACAAAATCCAGAAGGAGCTGGAAGAGAAAAGGAGGAAACGGCTCCAGAATCAGGACATGATGCCRGGCAAACCTGGTATTCCTCCGTCCGGCCTCCCACAGGGCCCGCCTTGCATGGGACAGCCACCCATGCCCCCTGGGCAGTCCCTCAGTAAGTAACAGCAAAGTTACCAAACACATCTCTCTGCCCAGAGAACAGAGATTGTAGAGGTTTTACAGCTGCACACTTTGTGTTTAAAAAAGTATTTAACAGTAAACTGAATTTGCTTCTTTGTTTCAGATGGTCCTCATGCAGATCTGTCCATGATCAGACCTGCAGGTCCAACTCAGATGGTCAAAAGGARGCCGAACCCTACAGGTTCTCCTCTTCGTTTTACTTTATGAATATTGATGTACTTGTGCTGTGGGGAAAGTTGTTTTTTTTATGTTTTTGATTTTTCACCAGACTTAAATATTTTGAATAATCAACAAAAAACACATTTAAAAACTGTATTTTCAGTTTACTTGCGTTATCCATGTTTTTTAATAAATTTAATTTAATTTAAGTGTAGTAAAAATCAAATACTAGAAAATCATGAGGGAGTAGGGTTGTTTTCACAGAACTGTACATAATAAAGAAACCTAACATATTTAAAATCAGTTTTTTTTCTGCTCAAATTCTAAAGAGAGATGAGGGCTTCCATTGATGTAAATCTGTTTTATATTTTAAGCGTACAGTATACAAACTATACAAGCAGCCGGAAAGTTATTTGCTCTTTCATTTGTCTCATTTTGACTTGCTTTATTTTTTCCTCCATTCTTGCAGGCATGAACCAGTTTAATCAGATGGGGCTCCAGTTGATGGGTCAGAGGTCAACTCCTCCTCTTCCTCCTAATCCTCAAATGAACCAGGTTAGCATCGCTGGTTTGTTTTTTAGATCATTTGAGTTTAAATAAAGTTGTGTTTCAGGAAGCACATTGTAGTTTGACTGTTTTTAAGTAGAGTGACTTTTGTTGTAGATATGTATGGGAGGTCCCAGGATGGGTCAGCCCAATGCCACACAGCTGCAGAACCAGTACCACCCTCCTGGCCAGTTTCCTGTCTCCTGTTCTGCACTTGGTTCTGGACCTGTTAGCGTAAATCAGCTGGACTCACAACCTGCTGTTCCTTCTGTAAGAGTACACTTTAACTGTTAATCTTAAAGGGATCCATGATTAGTTGTAACATTAGACTTTATATGATAAACATATATTTTAACTGTAAAATAAAGACGGTAAAAATACTATAGGATGTTTAGTTTTGTAAATTTTTTAAAATATATTTTAACACGGTGTCAGAGTCTGGTTCGCATTGCCGGCAGTAAGTCGGGCTCGTTTCCAGTGAGAGTTGGACTCCGCCAAGGCTGCCCTTTGTCACCGATTCTGTTCATTACTTTCATGGACAGAATTTCTAGGCGCAGCCGAGGTGTTGAGGGTGTAGCAGTAACTTGGATTGGAATGTCAAACCCAAACCTTGTTT